GTTATCTCTGAAGAAGGCTCAAAAATGAGCCAAAACATGTAAGCGCTTTAGTAAAATAAAGAAGTTTTACGCTACGATAGTCGTGTTATTTGCGCAACATCTCCCGCGCTTGACTCCTACTGCCCTTGTTTTTTCATTGTTTTTTTTATTTCAATTTATTTAATTATCCTGTTATTTATTGTAAATGCTAAATGGCACTTAACGTAAAGATAGAACCTGTCACATTTTAGCTTAGAGCTAAATACGAGCCGATACGAGCTCGTTTTCAATTAATAATTCACCGCGAGATAAAGATAGCTCGCGGGAATATAATCTCTTTTGACACACAGTCAAAGGGAGGTGTTGACACACCACGCTCACTTAGAATACTGTATTAAATATACGGACGTTTCTTCTCGTCCATAATGGCTGGTCTACAATGTGCTTTTTGTTTCCTGTTTCTTGCTTTTTATGTCTTGCCCTTTTGTCTCTTTGTGCACTGTTTTACCGATAATGGTGTTTTTTGTCGCGTGTTTCTTGTCTTTTCAAAAGTTCGTCAACTTTTATCTCGGGAAACAGAAAACGATGAAACATCGCGGTGCAATAGGTTATGGCAAAGAGAAACCTTTCTGGTGACATTGTTATAAGCACAAAGTGTGACATAATAAAAAAAATAGGATGTCGGACAAAGAAAATGAAAATCACGTGGATGAAGCTTTTGGCGAATTGCTAACCAATTTTGTACGACAAAATCCTTGTCTTTACGACAAAAAATGCAAAGAATATAAAGACAAGAACTTTGTTGCCGATACATGGAGCTCCATCGCAAGTGCCTGCAATATGTCAGGTAGATAAATAAAGATTTTTAATTTTAAGATAAAAGTATAAATTAATTTGTATGCTTACTTTATGGATGATCGTATAATTTTAGATTTAGGTTAGATTAGGTTGAAGAGGTTAGTTCATTCTATATTTCTGTTTTACAGTTGATACGGTGCAAAGACAATGGAAAATTCTTCGCAACCAATTTACTCGAGAACATCGCCTTATGATGACGTATGAGCCATCAGGTACAGGGAATAACACATCTAAGAGACCACGTAAGACATGGTACTTGTACGACTCCCTTTTTTTTTTGGCATCACATGTGGCCCATCGTAATACATGTAGCAACTTTGTACGAAGAAATACAATGATGAATCAATCATCGCCATCATCATCAAAGTCTGCATCACAATTAACATCGGTACCATTAGCATCTGAAACGTCTAGCACTCTGTGGAATTCAGATCTTGTTACTGTTAGCGATGACTCAAATGTTTCAACTTCATTAATAGAAATATCGCCAAAAGTTTCAACGGCTTCAGCAACTTCAACAACTTCATCAACTTCATTCAGTCAGCCAAAGTCGTCAGCTACTAGAAAGAAAAATTTAATTTCCCCACCACCTGATCCATTTGCAGTCCGGAAGATGAAGGAATCTCAGACAAACCAAGAACAGCTGTCTAAAATGATATACGAGTACAGTACGTCTGAGAATATAAACAAGTTTATGTATAACTTAACAGAAAAACGTTCGCAAGCTGTCAGCGGTGATGGAGAGGAAGCAGCAATGGCGAAAACATTAATTTGTGCGTTGAAAAGAGTAAACTCCAAGTACAAAATCCAGTGTTATACGGAATGTTTATTTATTATAGATAAATATCACAACATGACAACAGAGGAAACAATTCAAAATCTATAATTTCTTTATAGCCACATCGAAAGCATTTTATTAATATTTTATTAGTGTTTTATTTATATTTTATTACATAGGTAAAAGATATAATTTTGTTATGTACTCTAAAGTATATACATATATACACATATGTATATATACAATATGTATGAATGTTTAATCTATGTAATAAGTAGAAAAACCTGTGATTTTGAAGTCCCTATAACATATTTTTTCGCGAGATATAATGGGTGCATTCAGTACTACGACCGTTCGCTATTGAGCGCTTAGTGAGCTCTTGTATGTGTATGGTCTATATTTTTAGATCTCTAACGAAATATCATCAAATGTAAGAGCTCACTGAGCGCTCAGTGAGCGATTGTAGTACTGAATACACTCAATATATGACTGTTTGGTTGTTAATAACATATTTCATTTTCTAAGAGTAAACTCCAAGTACAAAATCCAATGTTATATACATGGAATGTTTATTTATTTTGGATAAGCATAACATAACAGTAGAGGTTTAAAATCTATAATTCTTTTATAGCGATCTATAGTACTTTTCTTATATAATTATGCTTTGCTATGAAGATTAAAGATATATAATTTTTTTTATGTTCTCTAAAGTATATATAATAAAATCTTTAATCTCCATAACATATTAATTAGAAAAATGTGATTATTTAGTCGCTATATTATTTCATGAAATGTAATGATTTTTTTAGTTGTTAATTATTTTATTTTCTATACACTTACATATATATAAGACCATGTTATTTCTAAGTTGCAGTGATAACTTGTTTAATTTTTTATATAATATTTGTCCTTGAACAACTGTTCCTGTTATGTTAGTTATTAAGAAATGCAATATATTCTTGGCCAAAGTGTAAATGTTCAGTTAAATGATTAGTATTTTTTAAAACTGTATTTTGTAAACAAAAAATAAAAAAGATTATTAAATACACAAAACACGGATGTTCACAAATTTTTGCAAAAACCTTATACATACTATTTCATTAAACTTATTGTCAGTTAATCGTTGTATTGTCTATATTCTCCGTGAAATTATTATACATACAAAACAGTATTCAGTAGAGATATGAAATTACATATATATAATTCCATCTCTACTGAATACTATTTTGTATGTATGATAAATTCACGGAGAATATAGATAATACAGGATAATGTATACATATGCAAATTCAAATTTACATACTATGTTCAGCTGTCACAAATTGAGCTATATTCTACTCTCGTGCGTATATTGTCATTATTTTTATTTCTTCAATGGATTAATATTATATCCTCAGTGCTAGTTCCCACTGCCAATTTACCTGGCCAATTTCCGAGCAAAAGTAATCTTTGAGAATATTTCTCTGAGCATCAGCTCTAACAGTGGGATTGTTGGATCCAAGTCGACCGACATCAGTGATCGGTCCCCTGTAAATTTCTCTTCTCCAATCACCTTCGATGACACACCCATCTATTCCTTCTCTATCCACCATAAATGCAGGGCAGTAGGTCCTATCCCATGGTGCTATATCGTCTTCAGCTATCATCAAAAAATTATGAAGGCACACAATCGCTTTGACAACGTCTTCTGCTGTTTCTGGTGCACAACACAGATCTCTTCTCAGTATACGCCACCTTGATGTCATAATCCCAAACGTATTTTCGATGACGCGCCTGGCACGACTAAGTCGATAATTGAATATTCTTTCTGCATTACCAAAAGTTCTGTGAGTTTTGGCATATGGACGCATGATATGAGTGCTAAGTGGAAATGCTTCATCAGCGACAAAAGTGAAGGGGAGAATGACATCACTGCCAGGAATCTCTTTTGATAAAGGAAAATCAATTTCATCTGAATCAATAGCTTGGCCGAAAGTACTGTTTGTCCATACACCACCATCACTTTGAGATCCTATAGAAGTGGAAGAGAAAAAAATTACATAGGTGAATATAATGCAAACTAGTATCTTGGTGATTGTTTACAGGTACTCACCATAATCGCTAATATCCACCCACGTGAAGCGGTATTTAGCGTCACAAGCAGCCATAAGAATTATAGAAAATCTTTTTTTGTAAGAACTGAAAAACTGAGAGCCAGTGTTTTGAGGACACTGTATTGATATGTGTTTGCCGCCAATGGCTCCAACACAGTTAGGAAATTGCCATCGATTTAAAAAATCTTCCGATATTTGCATCATAGACTCTCTTGTTGGAGCCTGCAGATATATCGGTTGAAGAGCCAGCCACAAAGCCTTGCAGGTTTCTTTAAATACTTTATGTGCAGTAGAACGCCCAATTCTATAATTCCATGAAGATGATCTAATTGATGTGCCTCGTGCTAAAATTCTTTAAAAAATAATATGTTCGGTGACACAAACTTAATATTAGTAATATGCAGAAATAGAAAATGTACTTACTCAAGAGTGATGGCCATGCGTAACTCTACAGACAATGGAGTTCTGATGCTTCTCTTAGATAAATATGGTCTCACCAAATCACAAATATAATTAAATTGCTGCACATTCATACGTGTATAATCAAAGAATTCTTCATGGTCTGTAACTTGCATTTCTCTAAACAGGTTCCTAAAAACTCCTTGAGTTTCTCGAGAGTAATTAATTGGCCTGTTAATCACAGATCACAGATTGAAACTTAAGCATGAATTCGATTGGGAGAATGTCAAAATAATGGATACAGAAAGAACAAACGGCTAATTTCAGAGAAAATACACATACATATGCAAAAAAATGGACTGAATTTAAGATCTGACACAGATGGATTACATCATGCTTATGCATCCATGCTAAATGATTTAACATAGTTTTGTTGTTTAAAATGAACGATTTTGCTTTATGAATTAAACACTTCAGAGAGATTCTATATTTATATGAAATTATATGATTTGCACAATTGTTAGACATGATAGGCTACTTTTCACTTGGTATAACTTATGAATTAGGCTCTTAAATTATAACTTTTTCTGTTCTTATATTTATAATATCTATGGAAAACATGTTATTTGCGTCACATACTAAAATCTGTAATACAACATCTATATACTTTATATTTATTATGACTTAAGTCTACGTATCTTTGTCAAAATTAATGTTTTCACTTATTCGACACTCCGAACTTATGGAATGAATTTAAATAGCTTTGTTTTAATTATATAATGATTTGCTGTGAATACTAACATATAATCCAAGGTTTCAAGATGAGATTTTGCGATCGAATAGGTAAGTTACTCGAATAAATTATTGTAAAAATCCATCATCTTATATATATGAATTAAATAGATAACACTACAGTTTTGGCAACCTGCGAGTGACTCTACATCGAATGTTCGCGAAATCTAACATAGTTATAAGATGATTGCTGATGAGGATTCCAAAGAGAATCGAAATGTTCAAGAATTCGAATAAAGATGATTCCAACACATCACATGGATTGACAAGTTTATTTTGTTGAAAAATTATTACACACCTCCGCTTGCGTTGACTTTTATTAGCCCAATTAGTTTATATTGTGTTTTCTAAAAATAAAAGTCAGGGAAGAAAGATAAGTACCTGAAATAAAAAGAATTGAGTATTCATAAGTATTGGTACTTACCTGTTAATCAAACTTGAGACATATAAAGTTAATCTATAGATAATAAAAGCATGGAAAATTTAGTCAAGTAGTATAAGCGTATAATTCGCTCGACACGAGTCTCAAGTTTGACGAAAGCATTAATCATATTTTATTTTGTATTTTGCATATAGGGCGCATTTATGTTATCTAAAAGATAAGTATATTTAATTCATTACGTTTGTTTGAAGTTTCCAACAAATATTAATGTTTCAATTTAATTCATAAAGGCTTTAGAAAGGTATTAAAAGCATAAAGGTAATTTTCCGTGATAAAAAGAGATGGAAATTTCAAGGAAGCGATGGCTGCCGTTCCTTGTCGACAAGAAGGAAGGATCCGTGTATCAAGGAGCCACCTTCTACGCTCTCATTGGCCGGATCCGTGTATCAAGGAGCGAAGTAGTCGCGATGAGTTTCTATAAGGGGAGGATGCTCACGCGTGTCGTCGCGAACGTTGCATCATAATTGCGTAATTCATTAGAGAATTCCGCGGACGCACGTTAATACGTTAATTGATTAGTTCCTCATATCAGAATAAACCCCATATACTTTTAAATATTATATTTTCTCAGAAATCGCGTCGGAAAGTGCGTCACGTTGCGTCATCATAAATTTAAGTTCTCTGATAAAGGCGAGCGTGTTCCGAGTGCGTGTTAACATTTTATAAACATTTATTTCATTAAATTCATTTTATTCGAAATTGTGTGAGTTTGTGAGTTCATCGCAAGATACCCAGCCAAGCTTCCACAGAATGAGAGTCGATCCAGAGACGCTGCTTGCAGAGGACGTCCACCGCTGTCCAAAGGAGAGGCTTACCTTCTTCGTTATAGAGGTCAAACGAAGTGGCGACCGAATTAATCAACCAATTACATCAAGTAGTAAGTTAATTTTAAAACATTTATTTGCATTGAGCAGTCACAGTAGTTAGTAGGAGGCATCTCGGTGACGAAGTAACAATAGAGTCTGAACGGTCATAAGTCACACTGTAAATCCTCAAAGAACCAAGCTTTAATCCTTTCTAGTAACAAGTCTTTTATAAAGAATAGAAGGATACTTTTCATTTTTCAAAGTCACGAAAAGCCATAAAAAACGGAAGAATGGCGACCGTGACAGGGCGTTATAAATATTCCTGTTGAACTTAAACACGCGTAACGTCGATTCAAAAATTGTAGACGAGCGTAACTTAGATATTTCGAGACACGGAAAGCGCGAAGGTCGGTGTGCATACAAGAATCGCGAGTGATAAAACCGCGAATGCACAAAACTGTTCAAACTAAATCGTGCAAATGTAAGTCGCGATAATTAATACAATTAATATAAAAATTACGTGAGTGACCAAATCGTTAACAATAAATCCGTGCAAACGTAAGCCACGGTAAACAAACTCTAAATTGCGTGTGCAAAACGCATAATTCACAAAATAAATCACAAACAGCGCGAAACGCGTCAAACAATTTCTGAACAACGCGAGTGAATAAACCACACAATAAAAGTCGGAAAATTGCATGATTAATAAAAATTAAACTTAAAAATTTGTGAAAGTGTAGTATAAGGCCTGAAAAAAATCTCTACCGACTAGGCCACAGAGGCAGCTCTGCGCAAAAATTTCTAAAAATTAAAAATAACTTATAAAATTTCGTGTAATAATATACTTTTATACTAAAGTGTCAGAAAAAAATTCCCGATCAGCTAGGCCACAGCGGAAGCCCTGCATAAATTTCTATAAACTCAAAATAACTTAGAAAAAATTCGCGAAAATTACGAAAACTCGAAAACATAAAATCGCACACAAACAAAGATCGGACGAAGACATCCGTGGTACTAATGATTGATAAAGGGTAATCCATGCAACTGATTTGATTTGAAAAATACAGAAACTAAGATATAACTCAAAATGGGTGAGAAAACGGGAACCACGCCGAAACGAACGCGAGCGGGTACCGAATACGATGTCAATGTAACTAATGAAGATTTAATAGATTGTTCTCCGCGAGTCCGAAGTGTAGCTAAAAGGGTCGAATCGCAATTAAAAACTAATCAATTGCCAGAAGCGAGAAAATCGATTCAATTCAAGATAAAGTTAAAAAACAAATTACGCGTAGTTCAGGAAAGAATGACGCTGAAGATAGCAGACGGACTTAGCAGACGGCCGCGCGCGCGCCGCGCTCGACCAGTGTTTCCCACCATGGTTATGATTTGAGAGTATATCGTGCAAAAAAATTGTTCTAAACAGATGATATCAAACGTTATGCGTTACTTAAAAACAGTTTTACAAAGTGATATTTCGGATTCAATAAAAAGAACACGATGATAAAAAATAGTACATATGATTTCTGAGACTTAAATGCTGCATTCGGAAATATGATATTACTTGGAAATTTCTTAAAAACTTTTTTTCTGAGAGGGGGCATTTTTTTATACTTCGCACACACATTCTAGGTGGTATTAGGTAGCCATCTGTACAGTTTTAAAAAATGACCCCTCTTAGAAAAAAAGTTATTAACAAATTAATTCGACATACGGACGGAAATTCTCTCTCTCCAAAGATAATGTTTTAAAAACTTTTTTTCTAAGACGGGCCTTTTTTTAATGTTTTGCACACACAGTTGAGTGTGCGGATTTTAATCTGACTAGTCCGCAATCGAAAGTTCATACTTCGAATATATAATGAAATTGACATTATATTTTTTATTACGGTTTTAACTTTTGAGATATTTGAATCAAAATAAATTTTGACACTATAATTCTGAGTAAGCTTATTATTAGTAGCGCCGCGACATTTGTTTGCGCAATTAACATTCACGCCAAATGGCTCGTCCAATCGATCTTTTTTCTTGTGTAATTGATGGTCGCGCAGCTACCGCGTTGCTTGATATGGGCTTTATTACATTCATATGTATAAATAAAACCTAAGAGGCAGTTTTAAAAAAGTATAAATTTTTTTTGTTTATTTATAGGTGTCCTAAACAGAATATATTATATTTCAGAGTAAATGAAATAAGGATTTTATTCTTATTTCTAATTTATTTTAATATCTCCCTAAATCTTTTATACAAATAATGCATATCATTAGATTTAATAAATTTTGTGATATAATGATCTTCATGTAATAATTTTTGAAGTGGAATGAAGCCATTATAACATAAATTGGTATAAATTTTTCCAATTGTATCATGGCTTATTTTTTATTAAATACAACTTTGTTATTTGCATTTTCCTATCGGCGTCTACTTTACATCATTAAGACAATATAAGGTATATATGTTTTATTTAATTTGCATTTTAATTTACTATAAATGTACATCGATAATTTAATCTATAACGCAATGTTAATGTATTATTTATTTGTGAGATTGTAGAATTATGAAAAGTGAGATGTGATCTCTTTTGATATTTTTATATATGGACCGCATTTTATGAACACAACGAAACTTTTCACTGGACATTATAATTTGAGCGAATTTTCCGATAATTTATGTAAGAGTTTGTTGTTTTACATTGAAAATGACCCGATCGATGTCCAAACGTTTGTATATATACGATTATTAAATATCTTACTGTTATGTATGAACGTACTTTGTATTCCGACCAATCGTGAGCGAGTATTCGGGAGAATCCGTTCTCAGTTAATTCTATGCTTGTTTGTATTACTTTCTTACTTTGTTGTTGGACGGTTAACTCGCGCTACTGTTGTCGTTCGAAATAATAAAGTGTTCTTTTACGCAATCACGTCTAATCTGAATCTACGCAGTATCCTTCCCAAACAGAAGCACAAAGAACACACGCACAAACACAAAAAATAGTGTCAGAAGTGAACCAGGAAGCAAGATTCTCATACACATGAAGAAGCATCTACAGCGCAGAGTGAGGTTAAGTCTCGAACAGACGAGAGGCATACGGCACAAGGATGGACATTCCACAAGAACTCTTACAAGTGATGACG